TCATGTCTGTAACTTTGGAGTTTTGAATGTCTGATTTGGGTGGCCGTGGGGTTGGGGGTGGGACTGTCTAGAGATCCATCTATAGTTTACTTGTGGACTGCAATTCACAATTACTTTAAAAACAAAAAATTTAATCCGATAGGTATGTTGCAGAAGCCCCCGCTAAAGAAATATGAATTTTAAAAGAAACTGATTATGGAAAATTTCAAATAGGTATTTTAAAAGTAGCAAGCCTAATATAAAAAAACCCAACTCCAGCTATCATCAACTCCTGGCCAATCCTGTGAGAGACGTGGACCTCTGAGCCAGATGGCAGGTACAGAGAATGAACTTTGCAGGACAGGACAAACAGGATTAGTGGTACCGGGGCCGTAGGTCCACGTTTCTGTATCAGTGCCGTAGACTAGAGCCTGGAGTATAAAGAGAAAGGCTGAGAAACATTCTTTTTTTTTTTTTTTTTAAGATTTTATTTATTTGACAGAGAGAGACACAACGAGAGAGGGAACACAAGCAGGGGGAGTGGGAGAGGGAGAAGCAGGCTTCCCCGCGGAGCAGGGAGCCCGATGCGGGGCTCGATCCCAGGACTCCGGGATCATGACCTGAGCCGAAGACAGACGCTTAACGACTGAGCCACCCAGGCGCCCCTGAGAAACATATTCTTGGTTAACAACCAAAGAAAGCTGGAACTTAAAAAACAAAACCCTTCTTCCCCCCAGCCCCAGGCTGAATAATGCCCAAGTAACAGTAACAGTGGTTACCTTCAAGGAGGGAAAGGACTGGGGAGGGATGGGGGTAGGGGGAGGGATTCCCTTTTCATTACACATTAAAAAATTTTTTTGGAATTTGTGCACACATTACCTATTTTCCAAAAGTAACTTGTAAGAAACAAATATCATGAAGCTTTGCAGTAACCACATCTACTAGATACAAAAAAAGAGCAAACTGGATTTGCTGTCTTATAGTAATTTGCTCAGGTAGATGAATGTACAACCTTCTGATCCAAGGCCATACATCAGCAGAATAGATGTTTCGTGTAATATAAGAAACCCCAGCTCTGAGAGCTGGAATAACTGGACTCAGAGCCATGGGTCACAGCAGTCCTGGAACCTGAGGGGCTGGTGTCCGCACTGAGCCCAAAGCCCTGGGTGGGAGCCTGATCGGGACTCACACATCATGCCCTACCTGCTCATCAGCATCCAGGTCCACACGGAAGTGGGCCCCACCCCGGTGGGTGATGAGCACTCAGCTCCAGAGCCGATACAGTATCTGGGGGCCTCAAAGAGAAGTGTCTTGGGAAACAAAACTTTTGTGAGTACTTCATCAGTGGCCCTCCCCGCATGATCCTGGACAAGCTGGAACACAAAGGCTTCCATGTGCTGAGCATGACAGAGGTGGGCCAGATGTTGGTGTGGTGCTTGCACAAGGACTGACTCTCTCACACTTAGGAGCAGACAGGGCACCCCTTTTTTGCGTGATTCCCAATCCTGAGCATCTGTTCACTCACTGTCCAGCCCTTCTCTTCCTAAATCATCATTTTCCTTTGCCCAGCACCACTGGGCAGTGAATGGCCTTTTCTGAAACCTGCCTCAGCCAGTGGGAGAGGGCAGGGCCCTTGCCCTGGAGCTTCTAGTTGCCCTTCCAGTTTCAGGCCTGGCCAAGGGCCTTAGAGGAGGTCATGATCTGTGGGCAGGCTGAGGGGCCCACAAGAGCTAGGCTGTCCTTGGCCAGGAGCTGGGAGCCCCCAAGGAGCATAGCCCCGGGATTGGGTGGGAGGGTCCAGCATAGCTAGTCCAGGCCAATAAAGGGCTGTGATGAGTGGTTGCTAAAAAAAAAAAAAGAAAGAAAGAAACCCCAGCCCTGAATGGCTACATGGGTGCATACAATTTGTCAAAATTCACAAGCAGTACTCTTAAGATTTGTACTTTATTGTATGTTCATTTTGCTGTGCTTCAATAAAGTATTATTAACAACAACAACAATCCTAGCCCTTGTGAACAAATGAGTCAAAGAATCACCACTCAGGGGTTTATTGGATTGGTAGTTCAGAGAAAACCGTTGTTTTGAGAAGACAACACAATGTAGACTTTCTGCAAAAACTTGCTCTTTGGAAACCATCGCTACAGCATGTGTTTTTGGTTAAGCATTCCACGGCTGGAACGCAGCTCTGTGCGGAGATGCCAAGAGGATGAGGCAAAATCTTGGCCAAGGTCAAGCTCTGCTGATGGTCTGAGAGGGGGCCGGCAGCCAACTGCTCTGCACTCGTGTAACATTTAAAAAAGAAAAACTAACCCCAAGCCATCCCTGTCCCTTTTTGGAGCCCACATTAGTCCTGCTCATTGTATCCAAGAACTCAGAGGAAGCTGCATGTGTGTGGCTACATCTCAGGCCTACCAAACCTCCACGGCCCATACATACATACTTTGATTAAAAAAATAATAAGCTGGCTTGCTGGGACTCGAGTTGGCTCTATGGGATATGACGAAGATGTCAGAATTTTAGATGAAGTTAGGGTTCACCTATCAGAGGGCAGAGAAATACACTTTAGTCTCCCTTTTGGCTATCCGGTTACTTTTTCTGGAACTACAGCAACAAAATGACCCTGATTTGGTAGAAAATGGGAGCTCGTGTCTACATCTGGGTGGTTATTATAAAAAGTGCTGCAAGTCTAGCATATTGGGTCTAAATCTGTGCTAAACAAAGAAAAGCCAATATACCAACACCCTCTTTGGGACTGAAACTAAGCACAAGGATGAACTGGGAAATGTATTTTCTGTCAGGTCATAGGGAACAGATATATACACAGAGCAATGTCTTTTGGCAGCTTATAAAATATAAACTGCGTTTTGCACACGTCTGTCTTACTGATGGCTAGACAAAAGTAAAAGGGACAAAGTCCAAGGCCAGTCAGGGTTATACAAGATGCAGGTCCCAGAAACTTCCCAGTCTCCCTGTGAGTTGATCGTGTCTTAGGACTTACGGATGGATAACAACGTGTTAACACTGGATCCCTCAAAAAGGCAGTCATGACAACATAAAAAAAGAGAGAATATTTTTAACTTATTGGTTTAATGTTTTCCTTGTAAAGTACCTAATTCTGTTCAGTCCTCTATAGTATAGTCTTAATTTCTCCTATCCTTAAAATGAGAAACACTCCTTTTTTCTCAAAATCTTCCCATCTACAATACTTGGCAAACTTGCCTCATTTCCATTCTGTGCTCATCTCTTATTAAACCTTACAGCACTAGCAATGCGGCTGAAGATAAAGATTTCTCTTCTTTCTTTATTGTTTTAAGTAGTGGACTAAGTAGGAATGTGAGTTCCCTAAGGCCACACACAGCATATCTCTGGTGAGAAGTGTATTTTGACCCCAGGTGGAACACCAGATGGAGGAAGCAGGCTTCTCTCTCTAGTCAATGAGGCCAGGAGGACATGGTGTGGCATCCTGCTTCCGTGCAGTCTCCATTCCCAGACCTGGGGGCGGGATAAGGGTGTGCAACGAAGCAGAAGGTACACAACTCCCGAGGGAAAGCGCCACAGAAGAAACAGTGGGACGTACTGCAGAATGCTACAGCTAGGAGAGTCCTTACAGCACGTCTAATCTCGACTTCTGACTTTATTGGTAAAGAAAGCAGCCCAGAAAAGTTAAGTGATTAGTCCAAAGATACACAGCTAATGGCCAGAACCAAAACCTAGGTCACCAGCCTGTTTCTCTGATCCTCCAACACACGGCAGAACTGAGTACAGGGAAAAGCAAAATAGAAAGCAAAGTCCATGGGCTACGCCCCCATCAACGCATGAACCAAATAAACATACCTCTTTTAAAACTACCCATGTCTTAATCTCCCATTTTTTTTCAGCTGTTAGCTTACTAAGCTAAAATGTTTGGTTCTTATCCAGGACTTAATGGATACCCTGGTGGCCTGAACAGTCAGAATCCCAACTCTGCCCCAGCATGTTGAAGCCTGAAAAGGGAGATCTTTGGGAAACAGGAGTAGAATATAAGTAGGCTCTCCAACTCAGGAATATTCTGGACCACACATCATGCTTATAATAATGCTGACTCCAAACTCAGCAGCTTCTGGAGCTTATGCAGGCAGAAAGGCAACAGACTACCCACTTAGCAAAGGAAAATGCAAGAATTGATAACAAATAAGGAAGCTAGAAGGCGGGCGAATGCTCTGGGTTCAGTCTGGAAGGTAGGAAATTACCGCCATTCAGAGCAGAAAACGACCTTTTAAAGCAGTGTATACTATATTTGAAGAGGAACCCAGGATTCGTGAACTAGGTCCTTTGACATTCCCTATTCATATGCCAAGGAAGTCAGTTGCTGATTATCCCCCAAATGATTACCCATTTGGTTCAGTTACCCACAGTGTCTAGGGACCTCCAACAAGAGTGGGCCACAGACAGACCTGGTTAGATGGAAATAATAGTCTAATGTACTTCCCACCTTCCCAAATCACATGCCAGCATTACAGCAAGGGCCTTGGTGCCTCAAGCAAAGGGGAGCGAGTGACTAATGCATCTCCTAGCAGGCTGGTGGGACAGGTCATTTGAGCAAGTAAGCTACCTGGCTGCCTGCAAGCCCTGTGCCATCATCTGATGCGAAACTGCTCCAGGACTGGGGACAGGCAGAAGGTATAAGACTTCAGCATGAGGAGGTGACTTGGTGAATAGCTAAAGTATATCGCTGAATTCCAAAGCAAATGTATTCTGGGACCATGTATTATATTTACATTATTCAGATCAAGAGTTCATCATAACAAGGTCATTCTTATACCCTCTTTCAGCTTATCTCACCCAAGAAAAACGGATTCCCACTGTATTCCTGAAGGATCAGGTACTCCAAAAATGGCCACCGAGCAACAGAAAAGATAAAAGATCAGAAAGAAGGACGCTTTTAAAATATGTAATAATTAGTAAACTAGCAAACCAAGAAATTGTGTTCTTTAAAAGTAAAAAGTGATACCTCTCATGATGATGAGACATGATGAAGGAAAAAAAGGAGGAAAGGATAAATGAATGAATGAAAAACTCAGAGAGGTAAGGTAAACTAAGAATTTAGATTATAGTCAAAAGTCAGGGCCCCATAGTAACAGGTAGAAAAGGAAGCTGAACAAAAGCTCTTTCCGCCTGCTGGGTTCCTAAGAGTCTAAAATGGGGGATTAAAATGGCTTTATTTCAACAGAACACATTTTGTCACCTGATCTCCATCCGTGACATGGATAAGAATAAGTAACTTATGGCTGCACTCTGAAAAAGCAACAAATCCCTGAATATTGTGCCTTGTTCACTTTAGGATAGCAAATCACTGATTGCTTGTGTATCGTACACACAAAAAAGATCTGTCTGTAACTTTTATTTTACGTTTTTATTTTAAAATAAACAGTGTTTCCAAAAAACATTGACTACAAGGGGAAATGAGTCAATAAAGGATGGGAGACAAAGGGGAAGCGGAGAGAAGACGCTAAGCCTAGAAACACAATGACGGGGGCCCATCCAGGGAGGCCCTTGCCATGACCCTGTCCTCTCGCTACTGCTCACACGGAGGCTCAGCAAATGTACTGGGACATGAGCCTAAGGGTTAGAGAGAACCGTTCCCTTGATATGAAAGGTGATATCAACTGATACTCACTCCAGCAATGTGAGCCCCCTCCACCCCATCCAATCTCTAGGATCCTACCCTAAGTAAATTATCAAAGATATAGTCAAAGATTTATACAAAAGACAGTTCATCACAGCATCACTGACATTAACAAAGGATCTGAAACAACCAGAATTTTCAACAGTGTGGGAATGGACACCTAAAATATGGTAGAGCCACTAGAAATCTACTTTCAAAGATTAGGGGCACAGGAAATGAATTACTTGTGGTGTGGTTGACCATGTTAAGTGAGGAGGAAAAAACAGGATGTCAACCTGTATTTATATATGACTCTAAATTTTATTTGTATTGTACGCATTTTTAAATAGTGAAAGGAAATTCATGGACATACCAGTAAGTTAGTTCTTTTCTAAACAGAGGGAAGATGGATGGTTTTTATTCCTTCTTTAGACTCGTTTCTAATGAACATACATTGCTTTTCTAGCAGCAAAACACAATAATTACCTCTTTTATAATATGCCTGCCCTAAAATATCTCATTTGAGGTCACCATTGTCAGTCTTGAGGAAATGGTGCTAAAGGCTGACTCAGAGAAAGTCAAATCTACACAGTAACTTCTGAGAAGGATGAGAAATCTCATGTGCCAGTCTAGCTTCTTTCTCTACGGTGGCTGCTGGCTCTGTTACTGGGCTTTGCAGGAAGATCTGTTGGGGAATCCATTGCTTCTTCCCACAGCAACCACTGCACCTACATAACCTCGTACGTGCTTCCCCCCTCTTAGCATGAGGATCACGGGGAAAGAGAAAGAAAGCACCCTACTCCCTGTTTCAGAGGAAGTTTTTCTTGTAACCCTATCCAAATGACCCAAAATCAGCTACACAGATTTGGAAATATAAGTCACCAGTTATGTTCAGGAACCACATATAAAACCCTATTTCTCAAGAATGAATATAAAACAAAATCTGTGAGTGCCACCTTGTGGCAAGCCTGACTACTCTAACGACCACCCATCAGTCTCCAAGGTTCACCCCTGGACTCCAGAGCGTGGGGTCCAGCCACTGAGGCACATGCCCACAATAACCTACCCCACTGAACATACGGTCCCTAAGGTGGCCGGTACTATTCATTTTCAAGGATCTCTAAGTTTAGGGCCCAGAAATGCCTGTTTGAGGACCAGAGGGAATGAAGGGGCGTAAGAACAAAATGCACATGCGTTTCCGGACCATTTGTTGATGGGCTGAAGCTGCGCTGTGTGTGGTCCGTCCGTGCGCACACTGTGCGTGGTATATCTGCGCGCAGGTCATGCCACTGCCACACGGCAGGGACCTGAGGGATGAGTATCTCCTCCCCCAAGAATAGTTACCGATTTTATAAAGCTGTGAAGAAAAAAGTGTTACATTTACAATCAGTGAGCTTTGTGCTTAGAAGAAGTTTTATTTATCAGTGTTAGAGCAACCATCACCAACTTGGGCACAATTTCAAAACAGCTCCTGTTGGATTCTGGCCATAAGATTATTGTTTAAGTTTGTTAACCATCTTGTAAAAAAGCTCTCCTCATACTTGAGAAAAATACTAATCACTAATAACTTGCTTTCATGCTCAAAGTGGTGGCTTCACATAAAGAGATGAAGCATCACCGTTTTGAATATCTAAATATATGAATTAATCTCAGAGTCCCAGGCGTGAGAGCAGGTGGAGAAATCCTCACAATGCAATCTAACCAAAGGACTCCAAGAGACAATGAAGTGTTGAAAACAGGTCAGTATTACAAATCTGAAGGAACACAGAACCCGGAAGGGACCTGGCAGTGATTCTGAAAGAAGAGAACTTCCTCTCAGCAAGGGATTCAGCTAAAAACCTTGCACTTCTGGACAGGAGGATTGCGAAGTTCTCTTGAGAGATGGTGCTTGTACTTCTCTCGGCCCCACCCAGTTAGAAGGCCTATTTCCAGAAAAGGATTTCCTCCAGTGTTAGGGTGGAAGCATATGGCAGGAAGTCGCTGCTTTGGTCCTAGATGTGTAAAGGGGGACATTCTCAAGTATGGAAATAAACTGAAGTGACCTAGATGGGATGGATCTCAACCAGGTGAGTTGTGGGAGAGCATGAAGCCAAGGAATTTATAATTATGAGCGTGAACTGGGAAAATGAATCTGACTCCTCGTTCACCTCTCCAACCTCCACAAGAACGTTCTCTCCCATCCTAACCCAATGGGATTAAAATACTTGGCTGCCTCTGTTTGAGAAAAACCAACATACTAGGCAGGGAAGAAATGTATTAAAAACCTGAGCATCTTGACAAGTCACCTCAGGGGAGAATCCTTCATTTCCTGTCTGCACAGGGAAAGCAAAAGAAGGAAAGTAAAATAATGGCCAAGGCCCTTTTGTCCACGAAAATAAAATAAGAGGGAGGCAAAAAGAATTCTCACCCTGCCCAACTAAAATCCACAACCACATGCTCCCCTTGAAGCAACAGCCTGGCTCCACCAGAAGCATCCTGGGATCGGCGTGGGTTAGCACTCCAAGTTGTGACAATAGGCTCTGACAATTAATGGCACGGGAAGAGGTGACTTTCCCACCTTGGCTCAGGTTCCTGGCCGTCCTCACCTGGGAGGAGAGCGGCTGTCACGACAGCTTGACGGGAAGGTCTTCCCCATATCTCCGGAGCAGCTTCTGATGGTTGTGGTCCACGGACCACTGCTGGGGCAGGTGCCTGGGCTGCATGGAGTCCAGGAAGTGCTGACGCCAGCGGCTCTCCAGCTGCATGAGGGAGCGCAGCCCGCCCCGGCTGTGGCACCGCACCACCCTCAGCCCGTGAGGGACGTAGTTTTCGTTGGAAATCCTGGCAAGACACAAAGTACAGGGGTCTGAGGGAGGCAAGCATGGCATGGTGGCACAGATGGCTCCAAATGCTGCAGGCCAAGGGGCTTCCACAAGGGTAGATGAGGAGGTGCTAGACTTCTAAAGGGTTGATTGCATTAATGCTTTAAAAAAAAAGATTTTATTTATTTACTTGAGAGAGAGAGAGAGAGGATGGGCAGGAGGGGAAGGGGCAGAGGGAGAAGCAGACTCCCCGCTGAGCATGGGCTCGCTCCCAGGACCCTGAGGTCATGACCTGAGCCGAAGGCTGCCGCTTAACGGACTGAGCCACCGAGGCGCCCCCTACTTTGTTTTTAAAGCATCTTTCCTACATGTGCCTTTTTAAAGTAGTCTGGACACACTGCACACAGTCCAACAGAAAGGTGTTCGGGGATTCTGAGCTGTATTTGTGGGAAGGCCCCTGCAGGTTGCTCAGTCCCCACTCCAGGGGCCGTACTGTCTGGCTGACAATGAGTGAAGAATGTCGTTGGTCTTTTATTTCCTCCAGGGTTACTCAGGTACCAGCCGCCCTTCTTTTAAGTTATTCATTCTCAACCATACTTAGTACCTATATGGGGCTGTTACATCACCCCACATGTTCCAATGTCTCAAACACTGGAACACCTACATGTAAAATGCAAGGTGGGACATTTCTTTAGTGCCTGCTTCCTTCCAGAAAGAATGCCAAGCCGGCCGGCACAGGCACTCCAGCCGGTGGTATTGTAATAGCATTCTGTGGTGACAGGCGGGAGCTCCACCTGTGGTGAGCACAGCATACCACGTGGACTTGGTGAATCCCTGTTGTACACCTGAAACTACTGTAACATTCTGTTGACTGTGTCAACGACGCTTCAATTTTAAAAAAACATAAATAAAAAAAGATGGGGGCGCCTGGCTGGCTCAGTCAGTAGAACATGCAACCCTTGATCATACGGTCATGAGTTCGAGCCCCACGTTGGGCCTCGAGATTACTTAAAAAAAAAAAAAAACAAAAAAAAAAAATCTTAGGGCACCTGGCTGGCTCAGTCAGTGGAGCATGCAGCTCTTGATCTTGGGGCTGTAAGTTTAAGCCCCATGTTGGGTGTAGAGATTACTCAAAATTACAGTCTTTAAGAAAAAAAAAAAAAGAATGCCAAACCACATCCATGAGAGACATGTTTTGGTCCTATGAAATAGTTGTGCAGCCGGTGCTGTTTAATGGAAGATGAATCCCTGCCTTCTTCCTAACTAAGCAGAGAGACCTTAAAAAGTGCTCTAATGCCCTGCAAACAGTGCTTTCACCTCCCGTGAGTAATGACTACTTTTCTTGAGGAAGCCCCAACCCTATGGACTCAGTTCCCCTCCTTGCACCCAGACCCCCCTCTCAATACCCTCTCCCCAATTCTAGCAGTGCTAGTGCTCTCTCGGGGTCTGCAGCCACTTTACTGCTTAGCTCACAAGTGTACCACTAACATGCCTAGCTCCCCCCAAACAGCTATTCTTCTCGGCCCCCGACATCCAAGTCCAGCATCCCTCTATCCAAGTCAGCAAGGTGATTGGTTAGAAAGGTCCGTGGCTCAAAGGGGAAAGTTTAGTTGTTTTAGCAAATACATCTGGGAACTGGCCAAAGGAACCAGTCTCACTAATTTCTAATCAGATCTTGGCAAGTTACTTAACTTTAACCTCAGGGTAGCGAACATAAAACTTGGAAAATAACATCTATTCTACAACCTCATAAAATAGTTATAAGGATAAAACTCATTAGTACTGTTTTTTTTCAACTTCAAAAGATTTAAGAAATGCAAGATATAATGCTAGCAGTTACCAGTAAGAAATCTAAATCCTATTTCATAGGGTTGTTAGAAGAACCAATTAAGGCAATTTATAGAAAGTTTATTAGCTTGGTTAAGTAGACGAGGATATCTATAACCGTTTGATAAATGTTGCTGCTATCTTTAAGATTTTTGGGTAATGAAACTGTATAGGCCACCAGCATCACTCTCACGGTTTTGTGAACTTATCAGTGCAATTCCTTCAGTCCCTAGTACTACTGGAAAAGTGATACCGGGAAGCAAAACTAGAGCAGGTGGCCCAGAGTCTCTTTCACGCAGCCGTGTACCCATTCATTTCTCAGGACCATTGGCTTCTCACTGAGGAACACTGAATTAAGTCACGAGTTCAACTCTGTACTCATGGGGAAGGAGAGAAAGCAAAGAAGGAAGGAAAAAGGAGAAAAGTAACATGAACAGTAAGAGCAATTCTGGCCAACATTCTATTCGGTGGGCCAGGACCCTGAGTGCAGATGAGACAGCGAACATGAATCCAATCATTGGTCTCAGTTCCCACAGACCTGGGTAAGATAAGAGACATAAAGCCACATACGTTGTACTCATGAGCAACTTCAGAGACCCGAGGGTATTTTTTGAGGATTATTTTCATCTCCTGTGCCAACTTTAGGATTTACTTCTGCATAGAATGCCTAAGGCACAGCTCCACTGCATTTGAGCTCATCTGCTAATCATGAAAACGACTGGATGTAGATGACCCTAAAGGGTCAAGGACAGAAGGCAAGTCTCCTATGGAAAGGAAATCCTCAAACTGATTCTTCACTCCCAGCCCTACGGTATTTTAAGCCATTAGACGCTCAGTGGGAGAAGAGGAGGCTATGCTCTGCACTAAATGGCTAATGCCCCGCCCCCTTCCTGGCAAGCATCCTCACTAAGTAGTCAGGGTTAATGCCACTGGGTTATTCCTCAATCCCTTCTCAGACCAGAACTGTCCACTGTACCTTGTCTCCAGGCTGGCAGCCTCTTGAAGCATCTCATCCGTGACTGTGTCTGTGTTATAAAACTCTCTGAGTGCTTGCAGCAGCTCCTCCTTTCGATGAGCAGGCAGGCTCTCCGCGTTGAGCAGGGCCCTGGCCCCAGAGCGTACCTGCCGGCGCTCAGGGTCTTCCAGCAGGCGCAGACCCTCCTCGGAGCCAATGGGGGCCTGGAACTCTCTGGCCAGCTGCTGCTTCAGGTGGTTGTCATAGTAGTTAGAGATGGCGTGGCAGGAGGTGCAGAGCAGAAGCACATCGTGCGAGTTGTGGTCCTTCATCTCAATGGGGAAGTGCTTCCGGTACTCATGCGGAATCACGTTCTTCCTGCCAAGCCCACCCAGAAGGCAGTGCTCGTTAGCAAAGGACACAGAACACAGGTGGAGCTAGGAGGCAGGCCACTGGGATTCTCATCTGGGCCTACACAGGACTGAGAAGCCTTGGGCACCACAACCCAACAGAGATTAAAGGCAATACTGCTTCTTCCACTCTCGGCCTACCTGCCTAGCTGTGCCTTAGTTTCCTCTCTCCGAGGAGCAAGTTCATACCACCTGCTAGCAAGAGTCAGCGGAGGGCCAAGGCAGGGGAAGGCTAATAACAACTGTGCTCCCAGAAGGAAAAGTATCAGAGAAATGAAAAAAAATTCTAATGACCTTTAACACCTGGAAAATAACTCTCTCAAAGCATGTAGCAGGTCCCTCTACTCCTGAAATTTTGGAAGCCTGGTGACCTAAAAAAAGCAAATTTCGGGACGTCTGGGTGGCTCAGTCGTTAGGCGGCTGCCTTCAGCTCAGGTCATGATCCCAGGGTCCTGGGATCGAGCCCCGCATCAGGCTCCCTGCTCCGCGGGAAGTCGGCTTCTCCCTCTCCCACTCCCCCTGCTTGTGTTCCCTCTCTCACTGTGTCTCTCTCTGTCAAATAAATAAATAAAATCTTTTTTAAAAAAAAAGCAAATTTCCTCATCTGAGGAACCCCTTACTCAGACTATGTCCGTGGCTCATCAAGGCCCATGGTTCTTTTCCAAGGAGAACTGAGCTCTCAGGAAAAACTCTTGGCATTCACAACTATTTGTCTCACTTAGTAAGAGGAGAGTAGGAAAGTGAGTTACTCCACTGAAGCCAGGGAGTATAGCCAAAGTGTGCCTTCAGGCCTCTGAATACAGGCATACCTCACTTTACTGCACTTTCCAGATATTGCATTTTTTACAAATTGAAAGTCTGTGGCAACTCTGCATCATGCAAGTTTATTGGCCCTGTTTTTTTTTTTCCCAACAGCATTTGTTCACTTTGTGTCTCTGTGTCACATTTTGGTAATTCCCTCAACATTTCAAACTTTTTCATTGTTACTATATTTGTTATGCTGATCTGTGATCACTATCCTAGGTGTCACTATAGTAATTGTTTTGGGAGGCCATGAACCACGCCCACGTAAGACAGCGCACTCAATAGATAAATGCGTGTGTTCTGACTGCCTCACCAACCGGCCATTCCTGTGTCTCTCTCCCTCTCCTCGGACCTCCTTACTCCTTGAGATGCAATGATATTGATATCAGGCCAATTAATAACCTACTACAATGACCTCTAAGTGTTCAAGTGAAAGGAAGAGAGGCATGTCTCCCACTTTAAATCAAAAGCTAGAAATGATCACATTTAGTGAGGAAGGCATGTCGAAAGCCAAGACAGACCAAAAGCTAGGCCTCCTGCTGCAGTTAGCCAAGTTGTGACTACACGGGAGAAGTTCTTGAAGGCAATTAAAAGTGCTGCTCCAGTGAACACATAAATGCTATGCAAACCAAACAGCCTTACTGCTGACATGGAGAAAGGTTAGTGGTCTGGACAGAAGACCAAACCAGCCATTCGGTTATCTTAAGCCAAAGCCTAATCCAGGGCAAGGCCCTAACTCTTCAATTCTGTGAAGGCTGAGACAGGTGAAGCTGCAGAAGAAAAGTCTGAAGCCAGCAGGGGTTGGTTCATGAGGTTTAAGGAAAGAAACCATCTCCCTAAACATCAAAGTACAAGATGAAGCCCCAAGTGCTGATGTAGAAGCTGCAGTGAGTTATGCAGAAGATCTAGCTAAGATCATTAACGAAGGTGGATACACTTAACAGCAGATTTTCACTATGGATGAAATAGCCTTCGACTGCAAGAAGATGCCATCTAGGATTTTCACAGCTAAAGAGGAGAAGTCCATGCCTGGCTTCAAAACTTCAAAAGCCAGGCTGACTCTCTTACTTGGGACTAATGCAGCTGGTGACTTTAAGTTGAAGCCAATGCGCATGGACCATTCCAAAAATCCCGGAGCCCTTCAGAATTATGCTAAATCTACTCTGCCTGTGCTCTCTAAACGGAACGACAAAGCCTGGATGACAGCATACCTGTTTACCACATGGTTTACTGAATATTTTAATCCCACTGTTGGGACTACTATGCAGGAAAAAAACCCAAAATTCCTTTTAAAATATTACTGCTGGGGGTGCCTGGGTGGCTCAGTCAGCTGAGTGTCTACCTTCGGCTCAGGTCATGATCCTAGGGTCCTGGGACGGAGCCCCACATCAGGCTCCCTGCTCAGTGGAGAGTCTGCTTGTCCCTCTCTCTGTGTCCCTCGCTGCCCACTCATGCTCTGTGCTCTTTCTCAAATAAATAAATAAATAAAATCTTTAAAAAATAAAATATTACTGGGGCGCCTGGGTGGCTCAGTTGGTTAGGCAACTGCCTTCAGCTCAGGTCATGATCCCAGGGTCCTGGGATCGAGCCCTGCATCGGGCTCCCTGCTCGGCGGGAAGCCTGCTTCTCCCTCTCCCACTCCCCCTGCTTGTGTTCCCTCTCTCTCTGTCTCTCTCTCTCTCTCTCTCTCTGTCAATTAAATAAATAAAATCTTTAAAAAAAAATAAAATATTACTGCTCATTGATAGTGTATCTGGTCACCCAAGAACTCTGATAGAGATGTACAGCGAGATTAATGTTCTTTTCAGGTCTGCTAACACGCTATCTATTCTGCAGCCTGTGGATCAAGCAGTAATTTTGATATTTAAGTCTTTTTATTTATTTAAGAAATACATTTCATAAGGCTATAGCTACCATAAACAGAGATTCCTCTAATGGATCTGGACAAAGTAAACTGAAAACCTTCTGGAAAGGATTCACCATTTTAGATGCCATTAAGAACATTCATGATCATGGGAAGAGGTCAAAATACCAACACTAATTAACAGGACTCTCTAGCCCTCATGGATGACTTCGAGGGGTTTAAGACTTTGGTGGAGGAAGTAACTGCAGATGTGGTGGGAAACAGCAAGAGAACCGGAATTAGAAGTGGAACCTGAAGATGGGACCGAACTGTAGCAATTGTTTTATCTTATGATAAAACTTAAATGGATTGAGGAGTTGCTTCTTGTTGAATGAGCAAAGAAAGAGGTTTCTTGAGATGGGATCTACTCCCAGTGAAGAGGCTGTGAAGCTTGTTGAAATGACAACAATGGATTTAAAATACTACATGAACTTAGTTGACTAGGCAGTGGTAAAATCTGAGAGGACTAACTCCATTTTGGAAGAAGTTCTTCTATGGGCGAAATGCTATCAAACAACATCACATGCTACAGAGTAATCATTCATGAAGAGTTAATCGATTGCAGCAAACTTCACTGTTGTCTTATTTTAAGAAACTGCCACAGCCACCACCCTGATCAGTCAGCAACCGTCAACATCATGGCAATAACCTCCCCCAGCAAAAAGATTACGGCTCATTGAAAGCTCAGATGTGGTGAGCATTTTTTAGCAATAGAGTATTTTTATTTATTATGTATTTTTAAAGTAATCTCTACACCCAACACGTGGCTCGAATTCATGACCCCAAGAATCAAGAGTCACATCCTCTGCTGGCTGAGCCAGCCGGGTGCCCCAGCAATAAAGGTTTTGTTTTGTTTTGTTTTATATAGAGAGAGTGAGCAGGGGGGGAGGGGCAGAAGGAGATGGAGAGAGAAGCTCAAGCAGGCTCCATGCTCAGCACAGAGCCTGATGCAGGGCTGGATCTCACGACTTTGAGATCATGACCTGAGCCAAAATCAAGAGTCGGATGCTTAATCAATTGAGCCAGCCAGGCACCCCAGCAATAAAATATTTTTAAATGAAAGTATATACATTGCGGGGTGCCTAGGTGGCTCAGTTGTTAAGCGTCTGCCTTCGGCTCGGGTCATGATCCCACGGTCCTGGGATCGAGTCCCACTTCGGGCTCCCTGCTCAGCGGGAAGCCTGCTTCTCCCTCTCCCACTCCCCCTGTTTGTGTTCCCTCTCGCTGTGTCTCTGTCAAATAAATAAAATCTTTAAAAAAAAAAAAGTATATACATTGTTTTTTTAGATATAACACTACTGCACAACTAACAGTCTACAGTATAGTGTAAACATAATTTTTAAATGACTGGGAAAACCAGAAAATTCATTTGACTCACATTTTTTTTTGAAGACTTTATTTATTTATTTATTTAGAAAGAGACGGAGTGTGAGTGGGGGTGGGTAGGAGCAGAGGGAGAGAGAGAATCTTAAGCAGGCTCCATGCCCAGCATGGACCCCAATGCGGCTTGATCTCATGACCCTGAGATCATGTCCTGAGCTGAAATCAAAGTTGGTCATCTAATTGACTGAGCCACCCAGGCGCCCCTAAAGATTTTATTTTTAAGTAATCTCAACACCCAACGCGGACCTCGAACTTACAACCCCAAGATCAAGAATCGCACTCTCCCCCGACTAAGCCGGCCAGGCACCCCTGACTCACTCACTTTACTGCGGTATTTGCTTTATTACGGTGGGCTGGAAACAGACCTGCAATAGCTCTGAGGTATGCCTAGGTATGCCTGTACGCCACGAACAGTATCAAGGCTCAGAAAGTTGTGAGCCACTCATGGGAAGATTATAAGGACACAGAGAGAAAGGCAGCTTCTGAAAGAAATGGGTCCCCAGTCTTTCATGAGCAAAGGGGAACCACTCTCTTTATGGCAAACTGTTACTAAGAAGAGTACTGCATTCTTAAAACCAAGAACGGGGCTCAGGATAGGCAGGAGAGCACGGCAGCAGGACCACACAGAGGGGAGAAGTTCTCGGGAAAACTGGGAGGACCCCTACAGACAAGTCTCTCAGCCAAAGCTGGCAGATTCAACCAATACCTGAGAGCTCCACATGTGGCTACCAAGGCAGTTTCCATCGGAGGCAGGCAGTCTGGGTGGCCCAACCCCACACTCACCGAATGTACGAGTCTTTCTTGCCACAGACTACACACAGGTTCTCTTTAACCATCAAGTAATAGTCTCCTGGAGATTCGGGTCTTCCTGCAGGTTCAAACTGTAGCTTGACCACAAAAGGCTCCTCACTCACCAGCTCTTAGAGAAAAGACAAGAGGTCAGCGTTTGCCCACCTGTCCCTCAGGAAAGAAGCCCCACCTGAAATGTTCTCTGCAGTGTCCTGGCAGAGATCATGATTTCTGGCTTCTGAACAGCCACATCCCACTTGTCTCAAGGTCGTTCTGCCTTCTCCTATCCCTCCCCGCCCCTTGTCTCTCTCTCCACCTCCTGCCTGTACCCACATGCACCTAAATATAGATGAAACAGGACGGGTAAGTCTCACACCTCCAATGCCTTTGTCCAGGTACCACTGAGCTTTCCTTCGGTCACAAGTGCAGAGGGGCTGTCCATCAGGAGCATGGAGGAAGCAGTTATCATAGAGGGGTGATTTTCTGCAGGGAAAGGAGAGATTAATCTAAAACTGGAAGCTAGCTCTGGGTCAAGGTATCAGTTGCCTCCCATGTTGTCTTTCTTTTTTTTTTTTTTTTAAGATTTTATTTATTTATTTGGCAGAGAGAGATTAAGAAAGAGCACACAAGCAGGGGGAGCAGCAGAGGGAGACGGAGAAGTAGGCTCTCCACTGAGCAGGGAGCCCGATGCGGGGCTCAATCCCACGTGACCTGAGCCAAAGGCAGACGCTTAACCGACAGCCACCCAGACGCTCCTCCCATGTTGTCTTCTGAGTGACTCCAGCTATCCTCAACATTAGGGTCAAACATTATATTTATGGAAAAAAATAGGGCAAAAAAAAAGCGTGTTTGTTCCTCCACCTGCAAGGCCTAGGAACTAAAAATGAATTCATTTATCTAGTTTTTATATTTATGGAACAAGGAGTGAGTTGGGTAGTATATACACAGCTCGGCTGTGAAGGCGAACAGGAACAAAGCACCAAGAAAACTGCTCTACAGAGTAATCACTGGATTAAACAAAGTAAATTAAAATTAAAGAACTTCAAGCTGAAGTAATGAGGGCCACATGGGTTTATTTCTGGCTCATACGCAATACTTGCTTCAATTTAATCATTCATTTCCTAAAGGCACTCTGCTACAGGGATCAAACTTCCACTCCAAAGTACTTACTAGTCATCTTTTTGCAACAGAGGCGTAAGTTGTACAGAAAAACTCTCACTGGTTAGAGAATGATATTGGCTTAGAGCTGGATGCCTTTCTAAATAATCAAATACCAAATGAGGAGGAAATCAGATGATGCATTTCTCCCGAAATGTATGAGGCAAATTCATGTTATTCATTTTCACAGATATCCTGAGCAAGCAAGGAGTAATAATTATACCCTCATTTATAACTAGAGAAGTTACAAGGCTCAGGTCATATCAGGATCAGTAACAAAGCTAGGTTAAGCTCTCCTTATATCCATTCAATTCTAAAAATTACAAAGTAAAAGAAGGGGAAAAGGAGGAAAATACACAAATAGATCAAAGGATAGCTCCAAATGTCCTTGAAGGAAAGGGAAAATCATATTAACCTCTGGGGGAAAAAAAATTTAACCTCTGGAGCACCTGCTACCCTACTACACAACCTTCTCCCCAGACCCAAGATGAAGCATCATGACTTTTGCTGGAGGCTGGGCCTCTGAGTCTCTCTCTACCAGACAGAGAACAACTCAGTTACCTGGCGGAATAGCCCACCCCCAGGGGCTTTCTTTTATGCTTTCTGGGATCTCTCCCTTGGTGGTTGCCTGCCATCATTCCATCTGTCTTAGACTTCTTATTTCTTGGCTTCTGCTGAGCTTCTGCTGCTTCCCCATTAACCTCTTCCTCCAGTCGGCTGAGTCCTTTGCTTCGGAATGGGATGTCTACCACATCCTGGCAATTTTCCAAGGCTTTTCTCCAGCCCACGTGGTCATCGTTTTCATCTAGAGTTGAATTCCTAGAGAAAGGGTATCCAAGAAGATGGAGAAAGAGAGCCACTGAAATCTGGGCATCCCTGGCAGCATAAATCACCTGAAGAGAAAAGTCAGAGATCAGTGGAATCTGGAAGGCAAACCAGAGAGTGCAATTTCCAAGTCAATCACAAGGATGCAGACAACTTTCAGAATTCTAATTCAAGATGTACAATACCCTTAGCACCATGTACTTCTTAAAAACCTTTTATGATAAAATATTTCACACTATATGAAAGTAAACTGAATAGTATAATCAATCTTCATGTTTCTTGTCTATGTTAAAATAATGACTTTGAATAGTCAAAAATCCTAACCTATATAAACCCAGTGAAGTTTCTTTCTATCTATTACCAAATCTGATAGACAGATTTTTCTCAAGTTTGGGTAAGGGTAGTCACCACAAGTTTGACAACTAGTACATGAAATTCACTTTGGAGGTGGCCATCATCTAGAACACCTGAAGACAAGATTTACTGAGAGGCCTGTGTGACTTTCAATCAGAAACAACCTGCCATTAAGATGTGGAAAACAAGCATGGGTTTCAAGCATGGGCCTCAAATCAAAAGTCAAAAGGGCTCATTTCTGGAATTCATTTATTTAATAATGGTAAGCCACCCTCCCAAGCAACTGGTGACGGAAAAGCTGGTCATAAATAAAAGTAGCCAAAACTATCATTAATAGCTTTTCCCAACAAAGGGAGTAAAGACTTTAAAATTCCTTTAATTTATCTTTAGTAACCAAGCCTGGTAAATAATACTATTAGGGAGGATTTTTTATGCTTTTAGAATAAAATAGGTTTGGATAAAATCTTCCACCTAGACTCAACAATCTATACATCTACCAGCAGGTTGTATCCCACAGGAAAAGAGTGTGCTTGAATGTGAACAGTTTAAAGTGCTTTTTAGGGGCACCTGGGGGGTTCAGTCGGTTAAATGTCTGCCTTCAGCTCAGGTCATGATCCCTGGGTCCTGGGATCGAGCCCTGTGTCAGGCTCCCTGCTCAGTGGGGAGTCTGCTTCTCCTTCTCCTTCTGCCTCTCCTCCCACTCATTCTCTCTCTCACGCTCTCTCAAATAAATAAATAAATAAAATCTTAAAAAAAAAAATAAAGTGCTTTTTAACAAACTGTTAAGAAAACCAAGGCACTTTCAACAGATGCTGCTGAGACAACTGGATGACCACATGTAAAAGAATAAAATTGGACCCCTACCTCACATCACACACAAAAATTAACTCAAAATGGATCATAAACATAAATGTAAGAGCTAAAATCTAAGACTTGTAAAAGAAAACATAGGAGTAAATGTTCATGACCTTGGAGTAGACAATGATTTCTTGGATACAACACTAAAAGCATAAGTGATAAGCAAAAAAATAGATTAACTGGGCATCATCAATATTAAAATCTTTTTTGCTTCAAATGGTGACCTCAACCAAATAAGTGAAAAGACCACCTGAAGAATGGGAGGAAATATTTACACATTATATATCTAATAAGGGACTAGGGTCCAAAATATATAAAGAACTCTTAAAAGTCAACAATATAAAAACAAACAACTCAATTAAAAAATGAGCAAAGGATTTGAATAGATGCTTCTCCAAAGAAAATATACAAATAGCCAACAAGCACATGAAAAGACGTTCCGCATCATTAGCCACCAGGGAAATGTAAATCAAAACCACAATGAAATACCATTTCATACCTACTAGTATGGCTCTAATCAAAAAGATAGTAACAAGTGTTGGTGAGGATGTGGAAAATTGGAACCTTCACACTTTGCCAGTAAGAAAATAAAATGGTACAGCTACTTTGCAAAACAGTCTGGCAGTTCCTTAAAGAGTTAAACATAAAGTTTATGATCCAGCAATTCCACTCCTAGGTATACACCCAAGACAAGTAAAAACATATGATATATGTCCACACAAAATTTTATACACAAATATTTATAGTGGCATTCCTCGTAACAGCCAAAAAATGAAAGCCATCCAAACCTCCACCAACCGATGAATGGATAAACAAAATGTAATATATCCATATAATGGAGTATTGCATAGCAATAAAAAGAAATAAAGTACCAATAAATGTTAAAACATGAATGAACCACAAAAACATGGAAAATTAAGAAGCCAATCACAAAAGACCATATATTGTATGATTCCATTTATATGAAATGTCCAAAATAGACAAATGTATAAAGACAAAAGGTAGATTAGTGGTTGCCTAGTGTTAGGGTGTTGTGGGGGGGATGGGATGTGACTATAGGATGGGAAGTGACTGCTAATCAGGTATGGAGTTTCTTTTTGGGGTGATAAAAATGTTCTAAAATTAGTGGTGATGGTTGCACAACCCTATAAAAATACTAAAATCCATTGATTTTTACACTTTATTATTTTTTTTAAGTAGGCTCCATGTCCAACATGGGGCTTGAACTCACGATCCTGAGATTATGAGTCACATGCTCTACAGACTGGGTCAGCCAGGTGCCCCAATTTGTATACTTTAAGTGTCTGAATTATATCGTATGTAAGTGCTACCACAATAAAACTGTTTAAAAAAGAAAAAAAGAAAGGAACCAAGGCACAAAGAAGTGACTTACGTAGGGTCACAGAAAGTCAGAAATAGCTGCAGAAAACAAATTCAGATAATTTGACTACCAAAACTCTCTCACAGGATAATGTTAACCTGAAGATATCAGCTAAATCTTTCCAATAACAACATTTTGGAAGGATGAACAAGTAGCGACCAACTTGGCAAACAAGAGAAGGCTAAAATCTAGGTCTGTGGGGGTGGTAAGCCAAAACTCCAAGAATTAAGTTAATTTGAGCCACAGAGAATGGCAAAACATTAGGAATGGGAAGCACCAGGTATCTGTGAAAGCAAGTACGTGTAGGGGTGAAAACAAGAAGATTAGGCGAAAGCCTCCATAAAAAACACTTAGAACCTAAACCTTGTCCTTTATACCACAGGGCTGGCAATAACTCCTTCTCCAACCCCCCCCACCAAAAGTAAAAGTTTAAGTCCTATAATGGCTAACTCACAGAGGATCTGGATCTAGTAACACCAGGCCTGGCATGGGGGGAGGGGGGGGCAAAGTGTCACCTGAGAAAGGGACTATGGGAAAGTGTACATATGGACTGGTGAAACTACCAATACCTTTCCCCACTCAGCAACCAGAATGTAAGCAGCGGGGCTTATACCTCTTGGGCAGAAAACTAGATGATTCATCTCTGGAGAAAGTGAGTAGCCTGAGAAAAAAAGAGTTTCAGTTACTGACATGTGACTATAATCTATAGGTACTGATAATAAAGCCCACTGGTCCAAAAGCCCTGGCTATATTTGCTATGTTCTCAATCCATTTCTTAAAATTCAAATTTAAATAGCATTTTCTAAAATCTCATTAAGCTTTATGTTTATAATTAGAACAAAATATTGAAAGAAAAGAATGAACAGGGGCACCTGGATGGCTCAGTAGGAAGAGCGTGCAACCCTTGATCTTGGGATTGTGAGTTCGAGTCTCATTTTTGGGTGTAGAGGTTACTAAAGAAAATAAACTTAAAAAATTAAAAAAAAAAAGAATGAATAAGAGTCTTTGGAAATTCTGAATTCTCACAATAAAAAGGATCACAAATTTGGCTTCAAATTTGGTAGCAATTAACTTTTCCTCCCCAACTTTTTATTTTAAAAGTTTTCAAACCTAAAGAAAAGTTAAAAGAATAATAATGCCAACTGACGTTCACAACTGTCAATACTTGCTTTATCTCTTTATAATATGGACACCGCACACTTTTTTTTTGCCTGAACACATTTCAAAATTAAGTTGCAGCTATTATGATACTTCATCTCTAAATGTGTCAGCATGTACTTCTGAAGAACAAGGACATTCTTCTACATGACCTCACCATTACCACACCCAAGAACTTTAAGAGTGACAAAGTACAATAATACACAGCTCTATCTGAATGTCTCCAATTGTTCCAAACATGTCTTTTCAGATGGTGCAAGATTCTGGATTTTAATAAACTTATAGAATTGCACAACCCATCACCACAATCAAAACTAAAACACTTCCATAACCTCAAAAAGAAACCTTATTCCCTTTAGCAGTCATCCTCTACTTCTTTCAGCCCTAGGCAACCATTAAGTTCTGTTGTCTCTATAGATTTATATATTCTGAACATTTCATAAAAATAGAATCTGATATGATATTTTACAACTGGCTTCTTTCACTTAGCATAATGTTTTCAAGACACATCCATGTTGTACCATGTGTCCTTTTTATTTCTGAATAATACTCCATTATAAGGCTATACCACATTTTACTTATTCATTCAACAGTTGATGGACCCAATCAACTTTTTAATGTGTCTTTAAATATGAATGGACAGCCAAGTATCTAAGCATTTAAGAAAAATATTTAATGTGAAAGACAAAGACCAAATCAAACATTTCATATAAGGAACTCAGAGGAAAATGAAGCAATACAGGAAGAAGAAAACCTCAGAAATCTTTAATACTCTAAAATAACAGAAGATACTGTATCTATTACACAAAAACAAAGTAATTTTAAAAGTGAATATTCAGAGGACACCAAGAATCTCTTGTCACTTAAAATTATGATAGGAATAATTAAAAATTCAATAGAAATGTTAGAAGATAAACTTGAGGAAATTTCCCAGAAGGTAAAACAAAACATACAGAGAGAGAAAAATCAGAGAGAAAATATTTTTCCTAGGAAATCAGAGGATCAATTCAAGGGCGTCCAATATCCAAATAATATGAGTTCTAGAAACAAAAGGGAGGGAAATTTTCAAAGAAATATTATGAGAATAATTATCTGAACTAAAAGACATGAGCTTCCAGATTGAAAGGGTCCACTGGCTTCTAATACTAAAATGAAAACTAGCCCACACTAATGTATATCATCATGAATTTTCGGAACTAAGAATAGGGGCGCCTGGCTGGCTCAGTTGTTAAGCATCTGCCTTTGGCTCAGGTCATGATCCTGGGGTCCTGGGATCGATCCCCGCATCAGGCTCCCTGCGCAGAGGGGAGCCTGCTTCTCCCTCTCCCACTCCCCCTGCTTGTGTTCCCTCTCTCGCTGTCTCTCTCTGTCAAATAAATAAAATCTTCAAACAAACAAACAAAAGAAAAAACAAGAATAAAGTGAAGATTCTCCAGAAAGGAAAACAAGTGACGTGCTCAGTATCAATACTGGAAGCTCTAAGACCGGGAACATTACCTTTGAATTCTGAAGGAAAATGACTTTCACCCAAAACTGCTGTACTCAGTGAAAATATCAGTTCATAGACAGTGAAGCCAATATCTTTTCAGACATGCAGGGTATCATAAATTAATTTCCTATGCTCCCTTTCTTAATGTACTCCAAGACAAGGAAGGGAAAAGACATGGAATTTGAAAGACGGAGGATCTACTCCAGAACAAAGGTGAAGGGATTCTCTAGGCTGAGGGTAAATGCAGATTCCAGGGTCAGAGCTGGGCAGCAGGGTTCTTGGAAAGAAGCAGGATGACAAAGGGTTCTGTCTGGAAGGGACAGCTCCAAGGGAAAACGAAAGGAGTAAGTCACCTCATGTGTCAGAACCGGCCAAGAAAAGATGTAGGGTTCCATTAAAGGGTCCGGGCTTGAAACAGTTAATAGGTATATAGAAAACAAAACAAACAAAACTACAAATTATTACTCCTAGGAAAACAAAAAGTTGTATAAGAAAAAAACTTAATTGTAGCTTACTATGTGGTTCAGCTAAAATAATATCAATATAAGTAGATATTAATCTGATAAAAATGATGATTTAGCTATATTGGGAATATGGGGAAGGGAAAAAGTATTTGTCTGGGGACGGAGGAATTACAAGAATATTAAATCATGTCTTCCACTGTAAGAAGTCAAAAGATAATATGAAAAATAAGAAAGAGTGGGCGCCTGGGTGGCTCAGTTGGTTAAGCGACTGCCTTCGGCTCAGGTCATGATCCTGGAGTCCCGGGATCGAGTCCCGCATCGGGCTCCCTGCTCGGCGGGGAGTCTGCTTCTCCCTCGGACCCTCCCCCCATCTCATGTGCTTTCTCTCTCATTCTCTCTGTCTCTCAAATAAATAAATAAAATCTTTAAAAAAAAAAAAAACTTGCAAAAAAATAAGAAAGAGTAATATATGCATGTAATTTAAATTTATAATGGTAATTACCAGGAAGAAATGAAATTGGTTGCCAGTGAGTGGGAGGAAGACACTGTTTCTTACAATGTCTTATTAACACTTTGGTTTTCTAATTACGCATTTGTATTCATAATTAAAAATTACATTTTCTGAAATGCCTGGCATATAGTAAATGCTCAAAAATATAAAACACAATAGGGACTCTTACTCTGTTACTTAAGTACCATTTACAAACTATAGACCAGTTACCTCAGTCAGTCTCTTTTCAAGTATTTCCCCCCAATACTTATATTTGAAGATTACAATTATACGAACAACTATACTTCACAAGCAATGGCTCTTCCATTCTTCAACTACTCTGATAAGAAGTACCTGGTCCTCAGTAAGATGCTCAGCATCCCAGTTGCTACAACGAAGTAGAAGGGACTTGTCAAGTGGAAAGTTCAAAACTGTCTCAGCAAGTGATTTCAGGCTGAGCCCATTACAGAGCAAATTGTTTCTATAAGAAATAAGTAAGTCATGTATCAAAAATGGGCAAAAGAAGAACAGGCAAATCAAAAAAGACATTTAAATGGCCAATACACGGATGGCAGACAATTAAACTCACTAGACATCAGATGAAATAAAATAAAAATTATAAATAATTTATCAGATTGTAAAGATTTAAAAAAATAACTGTATCTACTATTGGTGGAACATGAAGAATCAGTCTAATCTAAAATTTGTGAACAGTCCATTTTTATAAGCTTTACTGAAAACAGTTTAACAATAGAGAGCTTTCAAAATTTTCAACATGAAAATTCTCTGATTCAAGAATTCCACTTCTAGGAATTTACCCTAAGGACAAATGCACATAAAATGATCTTCACTGCAGTACCATTTATAGGAGCAAAGAATTGGAAACAACCTAAATGCCCATCAACAAAAGGCTGGTTAAATATCTATGCAATTAAATTCCATACAGCTATTAAAAATAAGGACGTGGATGGGGCACCTGAGTGGCTGAGTCGGTTAAGCATCTGACTCTTGGTTTTGGCTCAGGTCATGACCTCATGGGTCCTGGGATGGAGTCCCACACCTCCCCTGCCCTGCTGGGCTCCATGCTCAGCCAGCAGCAGTCCATTTGATGATTCTCTCCCTCTGCCCCTGCCCCCCACTCAAATAAATGCTCCCTCTTTCTCTCTCTAAAATAAATAAATAAGTCTTAAAAAAAAAATAAGGATGTGGATCTATATTGATGTGAAAAGATGTCCATGACATATTAGTTAAGTAAAAAGAGACTGTGGGAGAAAACATATGTTGTGGTCCCTTTATGTTACTATATATACCACATTCCAGATGTATGTGTGTGAGTCTAGTTATGAGAGAGACAAAGCACAAAGAGATAACTAGAAAGATATCAATCACATGTTAGTGATATCTCTGGGTATGGGATTTGTGGTGATTATCTATCTTCTTTATATGTTTCTATATTTGCATTGGCTAGTATTCATGTAATTATTTTTCAAATTTGAAAACTGAAGGTACAAAAAAACACAAATAACCTTTCTGCCCTTAAAACACTTTCTGATTAAAATAGCTGCAGGGTGGCAGAAAAAATTAATTTGTCCAAGGTTCGGAGATACCAAACAAGAAATAAATGTGAAATTAAGAACACATTGGTCTACATAAGTGGAGCTGACTTCCTGGCTACCGAGTGAGAGACTAGAAGTTTTAGAGCAGGAAGCTTAGAGGTGGGGGTTCACGTCAGGGTTACTGCAAGCAGGACTCCCTCAGGTACTGTAGGAAATGAAATCATTATAATGATGAAGAAAAGGAAGTCTTTCCCTACAAAAACCAGCAGTAATTGATGGATTTCATTACCCCCAAAAGGCAGTACTGACTAAAAAGTAAAAACAGGTCCAGACATACTTAGGGAAAAATACATAATGTCTTGGTTCAATTAATGAAAATTAAGGCTTTGGGAGACAAAAAACTCTCTTCTGTTTTGTTGGAAATTATAAAAGTAATGAATGCTTATTATTAAAAGTTCAGACAACAGGAAAGCATCACAGGTGAAAAGTAAAAGCCTATCGCCCCATACTTCCACTCCTTAGGAATAATAACTCCTAACAGTAGGGTGTGGCCCCTCCAGACCTTTTCTTTTTTTTTTTTTATTTAATTTAATTTTATTGTGTTATGTTAGTCACCATACAGTACATCGTTAGTTTTTGATGTAGTGTTCCATGATTCACTGTCTTTGTATAACACCCAGGGCTCCATCAGTACATGCCCTCCTTAATACCCATCACCAGGCTAACCCATCCCCCTGCCCCCCTCTCCAGACCTTTTCTGTGCACAAATAGATAAACTGATGGTTACGTGGAGGAGGAGATAACGTGTTTTTGGTATCTGTTCTGGTTTTTGCTCTGCAATGTGCTGTATTACTTAATATATCAGATACTTCCGTTCATGATAAGTATAAATGTACTTATTTCATTCTTTTTTTTTTAAGATTTTATTTATTTATTTGACAGAGAGAGACACAGCGAGAGAGGGAACACAAGTAGGGGAAGTGGGAGAGGGAGAAGCAGGCTTCCCGCTGAGCAGGGAGCCCAACACGGGGCTCGATCCCAGGACCCTGGGACCACGACCTGAGCCGAAGACAGACACTTAACGACTGAGCCACCCAGGCACCCCTATTTCATTCTTTTTAATAGCTGTATAATTTTTCAAGCATGGCTATTCCTTAATTCTTGAAATTATTACCCTCGTTGAAGGACAGCACTTAATTTTTAAGCTACTTAATTCCATTTAGGTCAGTCTTTTTTTAAACGTCATATTTGGAAAGGTTGCACATTTCTTGAGAATTAATTAAAAACAAGATGCCATCTTTGCCATTTCAATTCACTAGGAAAGATTCCAAAGTCAATCTCTATAATAAATTACCTCTGGTTAACATATAACACAAAATATAGAGAGTAAGAAGAAAAGTATTACCAACAAATGTGTTCCTCCCAACGTCAACTGAAAGTAACAACTACTTATGGCAAATGTCAGGAGCAACCTATAGCTAACAGTGCGAAGTATAATCTTTGCACTATAATGTCAAATGTCTTAAACTATAATGGCAAAAACTTCTAATTTTACTACTAAAAAGTGTTCAACAATAAAATAATTTTTAAAATGTTTTTAAAAATCTCATTAAACATGGAAAGGCCCGATAAATACTTCATTCTTATTTCTAGAGAAGTTCATGGTAATATCCAGCTTTGGCCAAATTCTTATTTTGATGCGTGGCCATTCTGCGCTTAGTGAAATGGAGAATTCGTGCACCTCTCATTTCTATCTATTCATGGAGAGGACTATAATTGCACAGAAGCGATCAGGAAGGACGCACTGATTGATGAGGGCTCTGAGGGAGGTAGTGACAATGACGACGATGATGAGAACAGTAAGAGCTGAACACAGCAGTACACCGCACCGTCTCTGGGTGACACACTCTTTCCAAGTTCTTCACGCAGTTTAACTCCTGCAATCCTCACACCAATCCTGGGAGGCGGGAACCTAATTATTGCTGCAGACTAGGGAAGTGAGGGACAGCCACCGCACAGTCCACTCCAGGGTCAACTCTTAGCTCCTACACCCATCGCCTCTAACAGAAGAGAGTGACAGCGGACACCTCTGGGGAGGTGGTGCCCAGCGGGGGGCTGGGGGAGAAGGCCTGGTGAGAGGTGCCTGTTGGAGTGACACTCCAAATACTTTCACAGATTTAAATTTTTCTTACAGTAAATATGTCAATATATTTCTTGAAAACCCTTGATAATTTACAAGCGTTGTATTTACATAAGATAAACTACTAAGCTAAAACTAAAAAATGGTAAGAGATTTTAATCAGGCCTTCTCTTAGTTATTAAATCCTCTGAACTTTTGGGGCGCCTGGGTGGCTCAGTCATTAAGCGTCTGCCTTCAGCTCAGGTCATGATCCCAGGGTCCTGGGATGGAGCCCCGCATCGGGCTCCCTGCTCAGCGGGAAGTCTGCTTCTCCCTCTCCCACTCCCTCTGCCGTGTTCCCTCTCTCTCTGTGTCTCTCTCTGTCAAATAAATAAATAAATAAATCTTAAAAAAAAAAATCCTCTGAACTTTTAATGCCAGTGTCATCTGAGGTAGGGAGAGAGGCTACCTCACTCCACATTATTAAAATGAGGACCACACACACACACACACACGCACACACACACGCACACACACACGCACGCACGCACACACGCGCGCACACACACACACACACACGCACGCACGAGAAGGTAATTGCCACTCCCTGAAAAACAAGTTAGAATAGAATTTCCATAAGAATAGAATTCCAAGGAAAAGGGAAATCTCTCTCCCCCAGTAGTGTATTTTAGTCTACCACTACTTTTGGCCTAAAGCAGGGTTTGCAGACTCAAATGTTTATCAGGAGGAGTTGGGGTTACAGTGGATGAGAGAGGTGGGGACTCTGGCGATTGGACAGAGCATGGGCATCTAAAGACACCAACCTCTCCCCAGCAACTGCTACCCTCTAGAACCCCTGACCTTGCTTAGTCAAATCATCTGATTTTTCAGAAGCCCCAAATACAGACTTTTACATTAAATCTTCTGGATTTAAACTAAAAATTCCCAAAAAATATCAAATGGGGAGCAGCGCCTGGGTGAAGCATCTGCCTTCCGCTCAGGTCATGATCCCAGAGTCCCAGGATCGAGAGCCCCGCCTCGGGCTCCCTGCTCAGTGGGAAGCCTGCTTCTCCCACTCCCCCTGCTTGTGTTCCCTCTCTCTCTGTCAAATAAATAAAACTAAAATCTTTAAAAATATATATACATCATATGGGGAAGAAATAAATAAAAGCAAAATCAAAATGTGAAGCCCTAATTTAGCCAGTGGTGCTATCACTTTACAACCTGTAGCTTATGGAGACACCTTATCAATGTTTCATCTAAGAAGACCAATCCTAGGTAACTAAAGTTTTCTCAGAAGCTGGAATATTTCCTCACAGATTTATATGCATCTCAGAAGCCTCTAGGCTTCTAAAAAATATTGGATGCCTCCTTACTGTTCTCAGGACTCCACAAATCTTGCTAAGATATTTGCCCCACAGCTCCAGGAACCCCAGCATTCATACAACCCTACCTCTGCCTCATGGCTAGGTACCGGAGGTCCAGGCACCCCTTAACCATGAGGCCGTAGTCCTGCAGAAGCTTGCTGGCATCTTCTGAACATCCTACTCCAACTTTTAAAACAGTGCCATCTGCCAAAATGTCCAACAAAGTTTTTGGTAGTGTTTTTCCTCCACAGATCAGCTTGGGCAAGCGAACTAAGACACAGAAGCCACTTGGGGAGGCCATTTGAAGGAGTGACAGAGGACTGGCTTTGCCTTCCGAATTCACCTGCAACAGAGGAAAACAGGGAAACAGGTCATGCCCTACCACAGCACCAAGTACAACATGAAACTGGCAAAAAAAAGTCTAAGAGGGACATCCTTAACTTCCCAAAGGAAGTGGCTGACCAAATTTTGGTTCAAATAGGAGGAGCCTATGCTAACAAATGCAATGGATTCTGTGAAGAAGCAACCTAAACAAATGTGAGCCTGAAATGTGAGCAGTCCAGAAAGAGTGACACAGAGGAGAGCTGGCTGAGTCACGTGAAACGTGCTGGTTTTAAAAGTCTAAGTGAAAAAAGGGTAAGGAGTAGAGTGCCAAATGATAAATACATACTTTTCATTATCCAGACTCTCCAACACGCGTGCTAGGAACGCTACTCATTTACCGTATTGTTACTGCCTCAAGATCCAATTTTTGACAACAGGTAGAAAATACAGTACTATAAGTAACTGGTACCTGCCAATATAATTAAATCCTGGTAGCACAAAATGCGTTCTCAGCATTTTATGATCACAAATGGTGTTCACTAAGGAAAAAAAAAGGTATATTGAGCATAAGCTAGGATCCTTGTATCTTGAAAAGAAAATCACTTCATATATTAACTGATTTAGTTTTAGGGCGCTTGGGTGGCTCAGTTGGTCAAGCGTCTTCAGCTCAGGTTATGATCCCAGAGTCCTGGGATCAAGTCCCACATGGGGCTCCCTGCTCAGTGGGGAGCCTGCTTCTCCCTCTCCTCCCTGCTCATGCTCTCTCTCGCTATCTGTCACCATCTCTCTCTCAAACGATTTAGTTTTAATCTTTTTGAGATAACAGATAAGTTGGAGAAAAAAGCTGAAAGCTAAGAAATCATTCCCAGAAAAATTTACTTGCAAAGTTCACATTAATGAAAGATCCTCTAAAGCTATCCCACAGAACCCAGGTTAAACATCCAAGAAATCCCAATCCTCATTTTTCTGGAGAAGAAACTTTGTATTCTATTATTAACAGATATATAATAATAACAGAATACACATGCAGGCATAATGTATTCTATTATTAATAGAATTAATAGAATTCTATTATTAACTAATAATAGTGTATTCTATTATTAATAGGTATATAATAATAATAACAGAATACACATGCAGGCATAATGACAAAGTTAGGACTAGTACCAAAATTCCCCGATCTAGAAGGGCAGTTCTCAACTGAGATTCATTTGCGCCCCTTCCACTACTCCAGGGAATATGGCAACATCTGGAGAAATTTTTGGTTGTCACAAGTTGGGGGATGGGGTGCACAAGTATCTAACTGGTAGAGGTCAGACTGCCACTAAACATCCTACAATGTACGGGATAGCCACTCACGACAACGAATCACCTGCCCCAGCTATTTACAGTGGGGAACCCCACCCTGGGCAGCGTGCTGCTCTCACTACCACGGATCATCATGCCAGGCCCTGGGCCACGCGCCACTGCGGCTATAAAGTTACGCAAAAGATGGAATGTGACTTAGGGATTACAGCCTTATTGGTAGAGTACAATAGACATAAGCTCACACCGTCAGAAATAACATGGTAGGGCACCTGGGTGGCTCAGATGGTTAAGCGTCTGCCTTCGGCTCAGGTCATGATCCCAGGGTCCTGGGATCGAGTCCCGCATCGGGCTCCCTGCTCCTTGGGAGCCTGCTTCTCCCTCTGCTTCTCTCTCTCTCCCTCTGTCTCTCATGAATAAATAAATAAAATATTTTTTAAAAAAAGAAAGAAATGACATGGTAAATACCAAAGGAGTGGTTCAAACAAAGTGTTACAAGTAATCCGAGGTAGGATATTTCATAGCTGAGGTGACCAAAACCACAGAAAGGAGATAGTCAAGATCACAGAGCTGCTGTTAGAAACAAAACTCAGAGACCCCTCGTCTTTGACTTCTACTTCACGAACTCATAAAAAAATGTCTGGGACATACATACATATATAAATATGTATTTATATATGGCGCCTGGGTGGCTCAGTTGGTTAAGCGACTGCCTTCGGCTCAGGTCATGATCCTGGAGTTCCGGGATCGAGTCCCGCATCGGGCTCCTTGCTGCTCAGCGGGGAATCTGCTTCTCCCTCTGACCCTCCCCCCTCTCATGTGCTCTCTCTCTCTCTCTCATTCTTGCCCTCTCAAATAAATGAATAAAATCTTTTTAAAAAATAAATAAATATGTATTTATATATTATAAACATGTAGTACTATTTGTAGTACTATATTAACATGTTATAGACATTATTAAACATACACAAAAGTAAAAACTTTTAATGAATAGTGCCATCAAAAATCATAGACAAAATTTCTAACACTTTCTCTGTATTTCAGTGATTCACTTAGACAGCAATGATTTAGAGTCTCCTTTCTGAGGGCCAGTGGATCATCCATTTTGGCTTCAGGAAGTCGAGCTGATAAAACTTTCTGGAAAAGCCCACAATTCTTTAAATGACCCCACGATGGCAGCAGAGAGTAAAGAATGATTTGGGACCATCTTCTGGGCTTTGAACAGATTAATGAGCACCCTTAATCTATAGAGTTTATGGTATCAGTTAAATTTAGACCATGTCTTTGAGATACAAATGAGTTTGTCCTTTTCAAGTGACAGAATAAAGGCTTAATAAGCCTGGCAAGTAATAAGACGATGAGAAAAAAAAAATAGGAGGCTGGAAAGAGAACAGGAGACAAATCAGAGATGCTGAGAGAAGCCAGAGCACATAAGTCCTTAAGTACAGATAAGTAATTAAGACATGTCGGTTTTATTCAAAGCAATGAAAGGGTTTTAAGCAGAGGACTGACATGGTCTGACTTTCATTTTTAAAAGTTCACTTTGGTTATTAAATGGAGGAGGGATTGTAGGTGCACAGGGGTCCAAGCAGGGAGGACAGTCAGGAGGGTTCTACAAAGGTCCAGATGAAAGTCACGTGAGGCTTGGGCTAGGGAGGAAACAGAGGAGATGTAGAGAACCAGATGGAGGCAACATCTATGTTGGAGATAGCACTAGGTAGTATTACTAGAAAGGGGTTAATGGTAAGGAAAAGGAAACAGATCTCCAGTAGGCCTGAAGCCTGGGCCTGCAGAACAATGCTCTTTGGAAAATAACCTTCACTTCATTCAATCTTTGTTGCACCAGTTATTTGCACCTGTTGATCAAGGATATCTGTAGCCAGAGACTCTAGAAAATATTAGGCAGGAGACAGGGGCCAAAAAGATATTTAACACCTCCATCCCCACCTTCCCAAGAGAAAGGCATGTTTTACCTTCTAAAACACAGCAGAAATCTGTGATTTGCGCATAATTGTACATTACCATAGGTAATTCAGCGGGGTCTGGAAACCCATACCTCTACCTCTATCTGGTAGCATGCTGTGTTATTTCCTGTTTCTGCAACTACTTCTCTGAATTTCTAGATATTTTGCCATTGAAGAAACCCAGCATACCATAACTGCCTGTTTGGTTTTTTTTTCTTTTTCTTTTTTTATTTTAAGATTTTATTTAGTTATTTGAGAGAGAGAGGGAGAGCTAGAGAGAGAGTACCAGCAGGGGGAGGGGCAGAGAGAGAGAGGGAGAAGTAGGCTCCCCGCCGAGTAGGGAGCCCCACATGGGGCTTGATCCCAGGATCCTGGAATCATGACCTGAGCCGAAGGCAGACGCCTAACTGAGCCACCCAGGTGACCATGTGTCTGACTTTCAATCTTATCATTTCTGTTAGTTAGCCCTTTGGGGGTTGGATGTTTCCCTGATTTTCATCTTAAAAGGTGGAGAACACTAAGGATAATAGAGATTTGGGAAGAAAACTCAAGAGTTCTTTTAGGAACATGTTGTTTGAGATGACAGACATTGAAGGGAAGACATCAAGTAGGTAGGTGGATCTAAAAGGCTGGAGTTCTAATTTTGAGAGTCATCAGCGTTATCAACAATATTTAAAGCTATAAAACAGATGAGATCACTTAAGAGAAAAATGTAGATAGAGGACATAAATTAGTGGTCCATGGACACATCTGCTGATCCACAGACACGTTTAATATTATTATTGTTTTGGTCTCCACATATTTAAAAACTTGCACCAAAATTTAAAAATTAGTAAAGTTCACATGTTTAAAAAATTTATATTCCAAGTTTCTCTGTAAAGAACTGGACAACCTGGCAACACTTGGCTTGACCTGTATGGCAGCTTCCTCATTTTTTTAAGGCATGAATTCTTTAATTTACCATAATGTCTTCTCAGCACTGAAGCCTGCCACCCTCCCTAGCCCCCCACCCCCCACCCCTGCTTGAGATCATGACCTGAGCCAAAGTGGGACCCTTAAACTAACTGAGCCTCCCAGGCACCCCACCACTGTTTTTCTAATAGAAAGAAATATTTCTCAGGATCCACGTCTCTATTAAAACTAGGAAAATAAAAGATCATAGAGGCCTTGTACTTAAAGAAAAAAAGGGAGGGAGCATATTTTTTTATGAAGTTTATCTCTATATGCTCAAAAATGCAAACAATTACTCCATATCTTCATTTACATTTCCCATCTGGAACTTGTAGATATATGAGTTTGCAATCCCTGGGGTAGACAGAGAAGAGACCAAGCCTGAGCCACCTCAATATTCAGATGTGAAGTAAAAGGGAGATCAGAAGACAAAAAAGAGTAAAGAACAGTATGATAGAAGACAGGAGAGTGTGGAGACATGAAAACCAAGAAGAATGTCTGATGTAGGAACGATGCAGATGCTTTTGAGAGCTAGAATAGCACGAGTCCACATACGTGTCTGCTAGATTAGAAAACAAGAAAGCCATCAATTTCATCAGTTCCAGTAGGGTAGTCTAGTAGGTCAGATTAAAGTAGTTTGAAGAACTAATAGAGAATAGCAAATTATACCCAATCAAGTAGAAGAAAAAAATGAGAGAGCAGATATCAGTGAAATAGAACACAAACATACTAATAATGAAGATCAACAAAGTGAGTAGTTGGTTTTCTGAAAAGACTAATAAAATTGATAAGCCCATAG